CAGTTACAGACTTAAGAATACAAAACTAATTTATGCAGTTATTTATGTTAGCTGATTACACACTACAGTATCATATGTTGCAGTTATTCTCTGTCAACAACATAATTTTTAAACTTTTGTCTGGCCAATAAAATAAATCCCTCATAATGATAAACATCATAAGCTGATGTAATTTGCAAAGTTATTTTATACATATTTATATAAATACAAATTTTTGAAACTACACTGAAACTCACTGGTTGTCCTTTCATTCCTTGAAAACCTACGCCCATATTTCCTTTCATTCCAGGTTGGCCTAAATCACCTTTGATACCCTAAAAAAGAATAAAATAGCCTTAGCTTTTACCATATATATTTTGTTACTTTTATCAAAACTTTGACCTTCTATTCATTATGACAAGATCAATCTAAAAATACTTTATAATTTCGCAAACAAAACTCATATCTAAGTTGCTTAAAATAATATTGTTGATATCTATGTGTACTTTTTTCTTATGGATTAAGACATCTTTTATAAATCAAAAAAAGCTTACTGATGTCACAAAATATACCTAGGCTCAACTTTCCAAAAATATAAAGAAGTTACCTGAAGAAGTTTTTTTTTAAAAAAAAAGAGTAGATATTAAAAGTTAAGCTTACTGAATCAAGAAAAATTAAGGCACAATGACTGAATGCTCAAATGAATGAATATTTTGACTCCACCAGCCATACTATAATTGCAATGTGTGCAGAAAAAAAAGCATTTATAAGTTCTTAAAAAACAACATAGGTAGTAAGAAATTTCCTAGAGGTTTATCTTTTAGTTTGATAAAAAATATCAAAGTATTTGAAATATCACATTACTTTAAAAAATGATATATCTATCAAAAAATTAAGATACTTAGCAAAATAAAAATATCACCCACCCTTAAACCAGGGGGCCCTGGATCACCTGGAAGTCCTTGTATGCCATCATACCCTGGAGGTCCCTATATAGGAAAAGCAATAACTTATTACAGAAGCTGATGCAAATAAATCTAGAATTTCTCACTAAATTTTGTCTTTAAAGTTTAATATTTTTTTAAGGACTGCATAAGAATTATTGTTAATTATTTCTGGAATTTCTGGAGTTGCATGACATAGTATAAACTAGCTTACCGGGGGTCCTTCTATTCCATCTCTACCAGGTTCACCCTAGTCAAAAGATAATTTCTTATTAAATTAGTGCTTGTTCTGATTATTAGTACTTTTATTGCATGTATACAATCATTTAAAGTCTAATAATTTATCATCAAAATGAAAAGTCTTTACAATAAAAAATATGAAATAGAAGATCATATTTGACTCATCAATATCTGAAACCAAACATGGATTTTGTAACAGACAACATAAATACTTATATGAGCTAATTAAAAAAAAAAAAGAAATACAAAAACGTAAAAGATGACAAGAAACTCAGCGAGAGAGAAGATTAGTTTTAGCTTTAATTTTATCACTGTTCTAAACTTCAGATACATTTGTTTTGTATTATAATTAATTATCTTCACTGTATTTCATCTAAAATCTACTCTAAAAGCAACAGCAGTAATTAAGGTTTCTTATATTCTGGAAACAAAAAATATTATTATTAATTCTTGAGTCTAAACTGCATAAAATAACAACACCATTTGTAATCTATGTTCCCATTAATCTCTGTAGCTTTTTAATAAGTCTATAAACAGCATTAAACTCATAGTGATTTAAAAGTTATCTTTATATATAAAAAACAAAACACAGAAAAAAACACACATTTCTTTACCTTCTGTCCTTTTAGCCCTGGTGGGCCAATAGCAGGTTCTCCCTTCAGTCCTTTGGGTCCAGGTGATCCTGAAATTCCTCTGGGTCCAGGTTTTCCTTGTGCTCCTGCTGAACCTGGTAAACCCTAAGTTTGCATGTTTATAGAAAACAAAGTAAATAAGATAATATGTTATGGTTAAAACATATGTATTCTTAATATATGAAATTCATAAATAAGGATAATATAGATATAAAAATGTGTAGCTTCTACTGCAATTGTAGCAGCAAATTTTGATGTAGTGTTAAATGGAGAAATGTTACAGTAATTGCTAAGTCATTAAAAATTAACTAGATTTCCATCTAGAAATATAAAAAGAAAAGAAAATTTCAGTATACTAAGATATTTGAATTTTTGTTTCTTTGCCTTTTTTTTCAACGTTTATGATGTTCTAGATTATAGATCTGAATGTAATCTATTACTATATCTAAACTATTTAGGATAATTTTCACTAAGACTGTCAATTAGTTGGTGAAGATAAGAAATGTATGAAAAATGTAAAATATTTTTTCTTTTGAAAGCAAACTAAAACCATTGCTTTAATTTGTTGTAAGTGAGATGTCATTTATAATTACTGCTGACTTGTTAAAAACACTGAAAAGTTACAGAACTTTGAAGGCAACTTAATACCAGTTGTCATATTTTTTGCTGATATCCAGAAACGATCATTTTTCATTGAAGTGATTTCCCTGCTTCATCAACTTGGGTCAGTGACTTCAAGTTTGAATTTCATTTTCTTCTTTTTACACAAGCTCATAACACGAAAATAAGCAAACATATCATATAGAATTTGGATCTTTCATATAATTAAACTGAATTACCGAGTTACTTGATCATATAAAACAAACTCAAACATTACCTTCTAAATTGTTATCTTCATACTAAAATAACAGATTAATAAGTTATGTTGAAAGTGGCCTTTAGTCACTGAATTAGTTATAACCATTAGCAATCACATACTTTATCTACTGAAAGCTTCAAAGAAAGAATAAAACTAACAGCACACACAAACAATAAATTATTAGACATAATATCTCATAAGTCTCACATCAAAACATTATGCATATTAAAAAGTCTGGGTCTAGGTTTTCCAAACTTATACTCATCACCCAAGCAAATCAAAATTGCCAACATTATCAGTCTAGAAACAAGCTGCCTGTGTAAGGGCCAAACACTTTTGAGTATCTGTATTCCAGCAACATCATGAAACTATTAAATATTTTTCTCATTGTTCAAATGTTTTTAAACTAGGTATTATTCTGGTGGTTTACCTCTATGGCCTATAATTAAAAGATGAAGACATTAATACAATATTCCAAATAAGGTATAACCAAAGTCTGACACAAAATAGCAAAATCTCTCTCACTTCTAGGGTATTCATGATTATTGTTTACAACACTGTTATTGATACTGTATTCCTAAGACACTACTTATTGTATAAGTTTTAAAATACCACAGAATACAATAAAAATCCAAATATTTGACAATCATGAAAACCATAAAATGTTTGGATCCACATTACTGTTTATAGTGCCTAGTTTGATTAAAAATTTTATAAGACTTCAATTGATCAGAGTTTAACCCTATATTCAAGGGTAGGAGTCAAAGTGTGTATGCTATGACCTTTTACAGAGTGCCATTCAATATAGTATCATGCATTTGATATCAGAGTTATCACCTATCCATTTTAACCTTAACTGGTGATTTAGTGACAGTTTTTGGTAGAAAAAAGTAAATATATAATATATATAGGGATGCTGAAAAAAAAATGTAAGTATGCTTTTCAGAGGCTTTAGAGGTTATGCAAATGCAATATATAAACTGTACAATGAACAAAAGTATTTTTATTCTTCATTTAAACATCACATTGCACTCCAACTTGTCAGAGTCTGAGTCAGACTGACATCAGTATTTTTACAGACATATCTTCAGTACACATAATTTTGTAACACATCCGATTTTTTGGGTACAATAGACTTTTATATTTTAATAAAAGTTTGTCTCATTTTGTGTAGATATATATAGCAACTACAAAATTAGAGTCAATATTCTCTCTACAATACAGGGTCAATCCACATTGTTTTCTATGGACTGATCCTGTGTACATTTGGTTACACAGAATTTCATTTGCCATTTTGAGTTTTAATTATTATCCAACCACAGAAAAGGATCTGTTGGGTATAGACAGCACTGTGCTTCGAAAAACCAAGTGAGATTGAATTTTATCTGTTGATTTTATAGAAATTACTTCTAACCAGTTGAGCCTTATTTAAAATACTTAAAGTAGTATATATCAAAGTATAGATGATTTATATTGAAATAAGAATACTCTACATTTTAGTACCATTTGTAATATTAAAAATAATATTTTATTTATTTAAATATTGAAATTTCAATTATTGTAGAAAAATAGTCCAGTAATCAAAAATTGTTAGCTGATACAATAGCAACTTTACTCACTTCTACAATTAAAACTTCTATAGACAGATCCAGTAACCAGTTAATTTTAATCACCACAGCCAGATATCTTTCTAAAAGTTTTAGGTATTTCTCAATAGTTCAGCTACACCCTTCACTCTTCCCATTATGCTAACATTACTATTATAATACAAGTAATTACATTTTGGATTTATAAATCATAATTAGTGTATAACTTTACATTTCTAAAGACTGAAATGTACTATCTATGTTCTTGCATATTCATTGAAAGGTAAACACTACTAAATTAAGCAAAGTTTAGAGTATGATTAATCATTTTTCGAAAGAAACTTTTAAGTTTAGGGAATGTTGTATTATTTTAGAAACATACTTTATAAAATTTAGAGATAATCAATTTGTTTTTTGATAAACATTACTAGGCATAGAGAATACCTTGTTGTTTTTTGGTATACTTTATTAAGTATACAGTACATTAAGTTTTTTTTATACACATTACTATGACACTTTCCTGTGTATTAATCAAATGCTTTGTAAAGGTGCTTATATGCTTATCTAATGCATAACACTGGAGAAGCAGGTATGTGAAAAATATAGTAATAAAATATATTTTTGGCACTTCATGTCAATATTCATCTGAGAAACATGTAACAGACTAGAACTTCTGACTTACATCTGTTCCATTACAGCCATTTAATCCAGGTAGACCCCTAGGACCATTTGATCCAGGTAAACCCTAAAAAAAGAATGTTGTGAATGCATACTAATGAATGATATATATCAACAAAAAATAGAATACATTTTCTACTTTAGTGATTCCTAGAACTCTCACAACAAACAACCTTCACTTCAGTCAGCAGTTCTTTTGATAATTGAAGTATAAATGAACGTAAAGTTCTTGCTCTCAATGCATTTATTCCACTACTCCAGTACTCATACTTTTAATAGACTTATGCACAATTCTGAAGATTCACTAAAACCTGAGTAAAAACAAAGAACAGGAAACATTACACATTAAATAATAAACATGCCTACAATTAATTAATTACATATATAGACTGTCACCTTGAACGGTTTATTGAAGCAAATAGTTGACATTTTAACTCAGTATTTTTGTATGTATTAAATATTAAAAATGAAAAACAAACTGTTAATAAAGAAAAATGTAGTTTACACACTTAAACCATGTAATAATTAAGCTATACAGTAGTGGTTTCTAAACTGTGTGTCACAGCAAGTTGCTAGGGGTGTCACAAGAGTTTCAAACAAAGAATAATTAAGAACATAAAGAAAACTCTATAAAAAGAATATTGCTGTAGCAGCAGCAGTGTCATACAAATCAGGGTAAGTTGTTAGGGTATTGCCAGTTAGTATATGTAAATAATAATAAAAATAAATGGGAAATTTTTCCTAAATCATATTATCAGATTTAGTTCTCAAATATTTGTTAAAATAGATAGAGTACTGCAACCCTTCTGAGCAGTGCCTTGGACAGCTGCCCTGCTCAGTCCTCCCTAGTTACCTACTGATAATAAGAAATAATTATTGTAAAGATAACTGAGTTAACTTAACCTCTGGAAAAAGTTGTGACAATGATGCAGTTGACATAGTAGTGACAAGAGTAGAAGCTGGACTATTTCAGAATTTCATTCTCTTTTAAAAAATAAAAAGCTTTTGTTTAAATTTATTGATTATTTGTAATTTATTTTCTACTTACTGGAATTCCGTTGATTCCTGGGAAGCCTGGCATTCCCATTTTCCCCTGAAACAGAATAAACCAAATAAATTTATATTTATGTGTTACTTCATTTATTAGCTATAAATGAAACTGTACAAATGAAAAAAAAAAATGTGGTTAAGGTGTAACACTCTAATGCTGTTATAAGGAAAAGATAAATATTTAAGTGTAATTTGAATTTGTTTTTCATTTTCTTAGCATTAATTCCAAAAGTAATTATTCATTATCTTGTTTGAGGCTGATATTAACTTCAGTCTATAAAGTTGAAGCATGAAATTTAACGAATTTAATAGTGTGTTAAAAAAAAGAAAAGTTCCTCAAAGTAATTCAGCATCTCACAGTTAAGAAACTCTTTACCAAGTATAATGGCATAACATGAAATATTTCATGCTAAGCTAAGAGAAAGAACACAAAACACTAATTATCATAGTAGTTACAGACACCTCTGTACAAAATTTTATTTTTGAAGTCTAGGTGTAGTGTTTTTTAAGCATGATATGGTTAGTAATAATTGTAACTGACATGAGAAAAACTCTCAATAATCTTTCTGTATGAAACAAACCTATACTATTACTTGCTTATAACTACACAGATACAAAATCTAGAGAAATAAATACATGCATTATATTAAAAACCTATTCCAAATATCTCATCTTTATAAATGTTTATTTAAAAATCAAAAAACAAAAGAAAATAATTTTTAATACAAACTGTATCAGATTTTAAGTTTGCTTTAACTTATATTTTAAAGTAATTCATTGGTATTTTTGACTGAAACATTATAGGAAATAAGTACATAAAATCACTCTGTTTACAAATTAGTGTTTTATTATTTTCTGACCAGCCATTAAAGTTTAGGAAATTAAAAGTTTTTCATGTAAATATAACATTTTGTTAAAGAAAATGAACAAAAAAATTGAGCTCTTAGCAAAGAAAGTTTTGCAGCAAAACATTTAATAGTACATAATAGATGTGACTTTTTCAAACTTGAGTGTACATTTGTTTATAATCACAGTTGCTTCTCCATTAATTATTACATTCTGTAGTAGTTTATAATATTCATTTACTTTAATTATGGTGAATTAAGGGTTTGTTTGCATTTTTATAGTGTTTAACTGACAATTTTCTGACTGCCTTTTTCATGCTTTACTAACAACTATCAACTAATATTATAACTCAGTATTATATATGGTAAAAATAATTTATTAGTATTTAAAAATAATGCACATAAACTATTACCAGCAGTATTATCACATTACATTGTTATTGGTTTTCGCTTTTAAAACACAATTAATGCAATGTATGATATCTTATCATGATAATTTGAGTTTATCTCTTACTCAGAGTTACATACCATAGACTTGGCCTATAGTCAATACATAGTACTATCCAGTTATGTGAACTCACACCATTCATCACTAACAAGCATATTCTGCTCATCATGCTGCTATCTTATAAAGTAATCTTAACTACTTTAGTAATTGTTTAACACACCACTAGCTATATAGCATCAGTATTTAGTCAGTCAACAGAAACAGCTGGCACCATCCTAAATTAATTTTGTGACCAAAAGTAGGCCTACAGGAAATATCTGGGATTTTCCAGAATGTACTGTTTTTATTGTAGTCAGTCCTACAGTCTATTTGGTGTTGTGATATGGTAAGAATAGAACACATTGTTAGAAGGTATTTCGTATCAGTAAAGATAACAAAAGATTTTACTTTTAGTTGCAAGTATTGCTGGAAAACATACACTCTCAATGCTACCAAAATAAGTAACCATAATAACAGTTGTAAAAAATGCCATAATGAAGTAAAAACATTTTTATTATGGAAAACCAACAAAAGATCAATTATTAATAGCAAGTGTAGTGCTAGTGAAATACTGTTGCCCCCCCCCCCAAAGCTAATATCATCCATTAATCTGATTAATAGGCCAAAAACTAGCAGTTAGTCTACTTAAGTACCAAATCCAGTATAAGTTAATAAAAAGTTGGTACAAACATGTCCTGTGCATCTGACAAAGAATATTATGAAGATACTAATTGAATAACCCTGCCTCATCAACTCTACATCATTCAAGTTCCAACATGGGTAGGTCTGTTGATATTATGCTTAGAAGTTGTTTGCATGAGCATTAAAGGCCACAGGCATACTAATAAATTAATACAATAACAAGTCGTGCTGGTCAGTTCCTTCAAACTCAATCACATACAGCTTTGAACTTGATATTATCTGTAAAACCCTCTATCGAAAGTAGAATTTGAAAGAGTTGATTGTGATGTAGAGCTGAAATAACAGGACTATGAACACTGAGTATTCAGTGTAATGATTGGAGGGACTTAATAAATAAATATGTAAGGACATTAACATAGCTTTTCAATAAGACTGTATTCAAAACCTGACCAATTAATACATGGTTGACAAAACATCCCCTCAAAAAATAAAAGTCTTGCAAAGTCTTTTGGTGCTGTAACAGATAATGCCAGACCCATAAAGAAAACCTAGAAATTACTTCAGAGAAATATGCTGACCATCACATACCATTCTTCACTTGTATTAACATAACATAGCATATCATCTGAGAGACAAGGGTCCCCTTTGTCCATAATGGCTGTCCCATACCTTTTAGTAAACACGTACTTGTCTATATCCAATAATGACTCCCAAATTACTCATCAAACTCTTTCTTAAATCCTGTTGCATCTACCACATGACTACTCTATATGAAAAACAAAATTGCCTAACTTTCAAATGATTCTACCCTGCCAAATGTGTGTCTCACAGTCCTACCACTCTTACCATTAAACACAAAAAGATAATGCATCAATTCTATCAATTCCTTTTAAAATTGTGAATGCTTCAATCAGATCACCTACCCTTCTCAAGAAAAATTCATTTTAATGGTCTTAATCTGACCTCATATAACATACCCTCAATTCTAGGAATCATTAATGTAGTTTTCCTTTGAACCGTTTCCAGCAACTCAATTTCTTTATTAAAGGAGTCTATATCTGAACAAAATAATCTAAACAAGGCATGCATACTGGCTTGAAGGTTTAACAGACTGATCAACCAAAACACTAGGATCCTTTTCTTCCACAACACTATAGAGTTATTTCCCACCAAAGTGGTAATTATAGTTTAAATTAATGTAGCTCACATGCACTGTCTTGCACTTAACATAATTAAATCCCATCTTGTAATTATCTATCCATTTTGCCAAATGTTGTAAAACAACAATAGCATCCTCATGGATCCAAAATTTAATACCATTGGCAAGTTTGACCAATTTGTTGATCATTCCCTTATCAGTATCATTAATGTACATCAAAAAGAGTAAATGTATCAGCATATAACTCTGAGGTACCCCAATCACAGTTCCAATTCAGTTTAATTGAATTCCATTTATTACAACCCCTTTCTTCCTCTTCTCTAACCAAACCTTACTTAATCCAATTAGCTAGCTTATCCCTCCCATATGTGTGAAATGGAAAGATGAGAAATAGGAGTGAAGGTAACAATACCCTCACATGCAGTGGAGGTTTTTGAGGAAGGTACAATCAGGATAAAGGAGAACATAGGTTTGGTGGTAAAGGATGTGAGAGACATCGATGGCAAACAAATCTAACCTTCAACGTTCACAAGCTAACAGGAGGAGGAAAAAGGTTTTCAACGATAGGTGATATATGGAAAAAGAAGCCATAGGTTCAAACAGAAGTCGAGAAAGGGCATGGAGGACAACATTAAGATCCTAATCTGACAAGGGAGTAGGTCGTGGAGGAGGATGGAGACAAAAAGAATGAAGTTTGAGGAAAAACATGGCAGAATCAGGAAAAATGAAAGGTAGATGATAATGCTGCTCTATAACTGGCAGGGCGAAACAGAAAGACCATTACTGAAAAACCAAGTAAAAAATTCAGAAAGGTGAAGGAGAGGAAGGGGTAAATCCCTGATGAATAGACCAATAACGAATAACACACTACTTACATTGGTACAAGGACAAGGAAGAGGAGTGAATGAAGTGGGAAAGAAGAGGTACTACTTGGATAGAAGATCTGGAACCTTGTGCAAGGGACCAGACAAAAGGCATACTTGAAACCAGAGGGTAGGAATGCAGGTTGATGGGGAAGGGGAGAAAGGAAGAGATAATGGTGGTGACAAATGAAGAGGGAGAAGTAGAGAAAACCAAGGTTGAGCTGGCTAGAACAGAGCCACTAAAAGGACTCAACATGGAGTGTTTTGGATAATGGAAAGGACCCTGAGAAGAAGATGGGTTGAGGATAGGCATAAATGTAGATGTCTGTCCAATCCTAACTGAGGATGTCTATAGCTAATAAAACTGAATGATGAAGAACAGGAGACCAAAATAGAGAGAGTTTGGTTTCAGATTGGTGGCAAACGTGTCCACCTGTAGAGTGCCCAACTCAGAGCATAGCCACCTGAAAACCTAAGGGTTGAGGGACCACTAAGTGGGGAGGATCTTTTTGGAATGAGATAATCAATCTGCAACAAGATTGAGAGCACCAGGATATGACAGGCCAGCAAACGACTGTGATGGCTGTGGGCCGAGAACAACATATTCAATGTGTGAAGACACAGTGACTGCAACTGGGTGCCCCTTGCTGAGTGACCAAAGAGACAACGGTCGAGTTGTCGGAGTGGATAATCACTGTTTTGTTCCTCAAAGCTGGCAAGAATTGATCCTTTGCCTGGAAAACAGCTAAGAGTTCCAGACTATTGATGTGAAACTCAACTCAACTGAAGACCAATGACCCAAGATCTCTTGGGCGTTGCAATACGCCCCCCAACTCGACAGAGTAGCATAGTAAAAAGATGCACCTCTGGTCGTGGAGGAGGAAGAGAGACATCAACCATTGTGTTGTCCCTGTCCAGCCATTAGGCAAAATTGGCCTGGAGAGAAGGAGGAAGAGATATCGAGTAATCCAAGGGACCTCCATATGATTCCATTGATCTTGAATGACCCACTGAAGAGACCACATGTGGACATGATCAAGGGGAATA